TTACAGGGAAAGTCTCACAGCTGATACATCAGCATTGACAGGGAATGTCCCACAGCTGGTACATCAGCATTGACAGGGAATGTGTCACAGCTGGTACATCAGCATTGACAGGGAATGTGTCACAGCTGGTACATCAGCATTGACAGGGAATGTGTCACAGCTGATACATCAGCATTGACAGGGAATGTGGCACAGCTGGTACATCAGCATTGACAGGGAATGTGTCACAGTTTGTACATCAGCATTGACAGGGAATGTGTCACAGTTGGTACATCAGCATTGACAGGGAATGTGTCACAGTTGGTAAATCAGCATCTACAGGGAATGTGTCACCTCTTATACATCAGCATTGACAGGGAATGTTTCACATCTTATACATCAGCACTGACAGGAAATGTGTCACATCTTATACATCAGCATTGACAGGGAATGTGTCACAGCTGATACATCAGCATTGACAGGGAATATGTCACAGCTGGTACATCAGCATTGACAAGGAATGTGTCACAGCTGGTACATCAGCATTGACAGGAAATGTGTCACAGCTGGTACATCAGCATTGACAGGGAATGTGTCACAGCTGGTACATCAGCATTGACAGGGAATGTGTCACATCTTATACATTAGCATTGACAGCGAATGTGTCACAGCTGGTACATTAGCATTGACAGGGAATGTGTCACAGCTAGTACATCAGCATCGACAGGGAATGTGTCACATCTTATTCATCAGCATTGACAGGGAATGTGTCACATCTTATACATCAGCATTGACAGGGAATGTGTCACATCTTATACATCAGCATTGACAGGGAATGTGTCACAGCTGATACATTAGCATTGACAGGGAATGTGTCACAGCTGGTACACCAGCATTGACAGGGAATGTGTCACAGCTGGTACATCAGCATTGACAGGGAATGTGTCACAGCTGGTACACCATCATTGACAGGGAATGTGTCACAGCTGATACACCAGAATGGACAGGGAATGTGTCACAGCTGATACATCAGCATCGACAAGGAATGTGTCACAGCTGATACATCAGAATGGACAGGGAATGTGTCACAGCTGGTACATTAGCATTGACAGGGAATGTGTCACAGCTGGTACATTAGCATTGACAGGGAATGTGTCACAGCTGGTACACCAGCATTGACAGGGAATGTGTCACATCTGGTACATTAGCATTGACAGGGAATGTGTCACAGCTGGTACATCAGCATTGACAGGGAATGTGTCACAGCTGCAAGTCACCACATCTAGTCTTCTCCAGACCATGGGGTTACAATACTTCCCAATGAGACACTGGAAAACAAACAAAGTGCTATCTAAGATCTGTATCTGACACTGCCTAAATGATATGTATCCAGATACAGCTCTTTTTATTGCTTCCTACAAACTGACTTTATCACTCCTCTGTTGTTGCTGTTCTCTCTTCCCCCCCCTCTCTCTCTCTCTCTCTCTCTCTCTCTGTGTGCATGTGTGCGTGCGTGCATGTGTCACAAAAGGCTAAATAAAGCTATGTTACTAAATCAACTTTTCAAACCAAAAATTTTTTTCAAGCTATAACTTCTTTCGTCATCTCACTGTTACCAGGTTGTAACCCAGTGTTGTGGTTTTCTGTATTGTCTTGCATTTCTCGGGTGGCTTGAGTGATGGATTGGTTCAACTTTTTGCAGTTTTCATCTACACTGCTTATCCATCTCTTTCTTGATCTTCCTCTAGCCTTCCTTCCAGACATCTAGAGGTTCAGGGTACACAGACAGATAATGGGGACACAACCTAGAATTTAGTAAATGTTTACGCTGCTGTTGACTCTCTTGTCACAAAGGAAATTGGGACCGGCTCAAAGAGCCGGAGGAAATCCCTGGTATTAGGCTTCTAATTTGTGGAGATTTTAGTGTGCAGTAAAAGATCATGGGACAGTACTACAGAAAACAGACAAAGAAATGCTTTAACAGAGGCTTCAGTACGTGCAGACGTAATCTGTATAAACGATGGTAGGCCAGCTAGAACTGCAACGAGATCTGGTGATGCAGACATGGCTGTCAATTTGTCATTTGTTAGCCAGTCAGCTATACTGGACACAAAATGAAAGGTTCTGGGCGATCATGGCAGTGACCATATGCCATGCTCAGTCTTGATTTCTAAAGCTAGCAAGATCAGGGCTGTGAGAACGTGCAAAACTTTTAGGTATGAGAAGGCCAGTAACCTTCTTGGACACCTTGGACAGAAGGTAGGAAGCAGAACCACCACTTCTTCTTTCTTGCGGCCTCCCTGGTGGACCCAAGAAGTAGAACGGGCATGGAGAGCAAAGAGAGCAGCAGTTAAACAATAACAAAAAGTATGAAAGACACCCCATAGGTTACAAGAGGATACAGAAAAGCTAGAAAGAGAAAAGAAAAAAGTAGAAGAGTTCAAGCGGTGTGCAGCAAATGCAAAAAAGCTAAAAGTGAACATTTTATGAGCGAAATTGAAGGGAATCAATCACTGGGTTGACTTTGGAAACTTCACAGACATGTGCAAAGGATTGGCCTATTTCAACAGGCTTATATAAACTGATAATGATATACTAATGACAACAGACAAAGAGAAAAAGAAAGCATTTTTAAAGAGATCTATAGCCCATACTGATCATAATGATAGGGAGCTTAGAAATTCAGTTAAAGATAATCTGTATAATTCAATAAATGATAATTAATTTGAGGATATTATTAGGGTGGAGGATATAAAATATGTTTTGCAAAAAGCAAAGGACACTGCGTCGGGGCCAGATGGAGTCAGGTAAGCCCACATGAACAGCATGAGTGATGAAGACTCGAGGGAGATGGCTTTTTACTTCAACCAGAGCATCAGAACAGCTTCAGTACTCCAGGAATGGGTACACAGCTACTTAATTCCACTTCCAAAACCAGGCAAAGATCCTTCCCAACTCAGCAGTTTCAGGATTATCACACAACAAAATATTTGTGGCAAGGTTCTAGGGAAAATTCTGCTATTAAATTACAAATGTTTTTGGAACGGGAAGATCTATTGCCAAAAGGTTTGGGTAGTTAATCAGCCAAGGAAAGATACCTCGTCAAATGCAGCTACTTTTGCTTCTGATGTTTAAGAGGGGTTCCAGAATAGACAGAAGACGGTTGTGGCAGCACTTGATCTTGAGGATGACTAAAAAAGTCATAGATGATTTTTTAAATATCTGCGCTCATGTAGAAGGGAGTTAGTCTCTAGCTGGTCAACTGGATAGCTGTCCTGCATTCATATATGGCTATTCTTAGCCTGGGTGCATTAACCTCAGAACCATGTAATATCGCCCCAGGACTGCCCCAGGGTTCTGCAATTTCACCAGTGCTCTTCAGTGTGTATACAAGCAAGACTGCAGAACTTGAAACACCAGATGTTGGACAGATATTGACATTTGCATAGGTTGTTTTTGCATATAGGCAGGGGAGCAATAGGAAACAGACACTCCAAGACCTACAGGCAACTGTAGACAAAGCAACTGACTGGTGTGCAGAGATGAGTGCTGTCATAAACAGAAAAGGCAGCTGTTTTATGGTGCTCTCTGGAGAATAGAATTGTGAGAGCTAATGTTCTAAAGCCTCAAAGTTAATGGCAGAAACATCAAAAGAGAAAGCAAACTGAGGAATCTGGGTATCATTTTTGAAAGAAGCCTGTCCTTCAGGGATCAAGTGGAGTCAGTTGCAGTGAAATGCCAAAAAGGACTCAGTGCTCTTAGGATTAGGGAAGAAATGTACATGGAACAAAGAATGCTGTTCACAATGTTCCAGCATGTGATCCTGTCGGTAATAGATTATGGACTGGGAATGCTTACCATGTCAAAGAGTCAGCTGATGAAACTTCACGCACACAGAATGAAGCCATGCGGCAATTCTGGGATGCACAAGAGATACCCGGGTAGTATGTATGCCACATATACTTGCACTGCCTACTGTTGCAGACAGCCTCAAAGTTCTGCAAGCAAAGTCATATCGCAGACAAAAGCACCTGCTGCATGAAGCCCTAAATAGAGCTAAGGGTCACATACTGAAAAGAGGAAGTTCTTGGATGGCGCAGGCTGAAGATACAATCGGACATGTGTGTAGGCTTGATAAATTTGGGCGAGGAAAGGAGTAGGTTAAAGTGTCCAAGCAAGAATCAGATTTGTGTAGGGTTTTAATCACTGTAGGTCATGAGTGTAGGGACTGGCCAGCTGTGGCTGCAGAATCAGAAGTTCAACAAATGATTCATGACAGTTCCCGCCCAAGTGATGTGATTATCTATGCAGATGGCTCTGTGTTGAGAGGCAGACGAAGTGCATGGGGTATCATAGCAAAAGCAAATGGACGTCACCTGGCATTTGATATCACAACGTCTAATTTGAGAATGGAGGTGAATGCAGTCACTGCTACCTTCCGCTGGCTTGAGGATCAGCTGTCCACACATGATGTAATTGTAACCGACTCACAAAGCATGTTGAAAAAGGTGGAGACAGGCATGGTCCATGAAGAGTGGCAAGCATCACTTCTGAGTTTCCGGATTATTATTGTCCTTTCAAAATTTTCTCCAGGTTATTCCAAAGTGCTGGGAAATGAGCAAGCAGACAGACTGGCCGGTTCTGCACCACTTGGTAGTGAACTGATGTATGACAAGGTATATGTTGTGAGGACTCTCTAGGAGCGAGTGAACAATGTAGAGGCACAAAAATGTATTACAGAATTGTTAGTAAACAAGAAAAATCAATTTTATTTAGTGACTTGAGAGCTGTGATGACACAGCAGCTAGAAGGCTTGATGGTCAACCCTAAGGATTTGTATAAAAACTGACCAAGACTTCTAATTTCTTCTGCTCCTTCTTCTCTTCCTTTAGTTTTTTAGGGCAGAGTTTTAGAGAATTTTAACAATCTGGGGTGTTTTTTATAACAAATTTTGAAAAAGGGTGTTTTGGTGTGTGTGTTTTTTCTGGCAAAAAGGTTAAAGAGACAGCATAAATACTTACGTTCTGATTACGTCTTGCTTAATGGTCAATCTTAATTCATTGTCCTGAAAAAATTTATTCCAGGGACTCTGTGTGAGAATAAACAATAAGTTCAAGGATTAAACAAACTATGTGATTTGTGCATGCCATATTGTTTTACCACATATATATTGTTGGTTGTGTACTTTTCTGAGTAGTACTTTTCTTCTTGGATGATTAACCCATAATGTGATTAGTTACTTGGTATCTTTAGGTGGAGCAGGATTTACCTCATAACCAGCAAGCATTACCGTGTAGACATGGTGGTGTAGTGGTTAGTGCACTCGTACACCAACACAATGGTCCTGGGTTGAATCAACAGCAGAAGCAGATTTCAATGTCGACAAGGTCTTTTAAAATGAGTCTCTGGGTTTTCTCCCAGAAAGTTCACCCTTAATAGAGTGGTCGCAACAAAAGTGGTTGCTACACTGTGTTGTAGTTTACAGCTATACTGCAATTTATGCGCCTTTCGACTTAACACATCTGATTTTAGCTAAATTCCTAGTTAGTCAACTTTTATGACATGCTTGTTAGGGTGGTAGTATATTTGTCACCCGCAAAATGGGGCTCAGGAACTAGCACAGGAACAAACATATGCATGTCAATTATTAAAAAAGTATCCTACCTTATTTTTTTCCACAAAAAGAAATCAAACATGGAAAGATTTCCATGCGCAAGCATGATTCTAATTATTTTTTGTACACCCCAGAAAATGTCGGCTGCCAGCAGTCCTCTTGGAGTGGGGTATCATGAATGACTGTCAGATTTTCATTGTTGTAAAATAACAGAACAGCCTGAGCAGTGATGGTGCATAAAATATTGCCAAACGTATGGTGATACCCAAGTAGAAAGTAGCATTTAAAAGATTCAAGACTGGTGATAATACTATGCCCATAAATTAACGAGTGATACAATCATTTTAAAGATGGTCACACATCAGTGAAGCTGATCACATTCTGGTTGAAAAGTTGAAATCATAAAGCTATTGACAATGAGGTGATTTCAGTCAGGCACCATCATAACACCATCTGGGAACTTCACTCTTTGAGTCCCAAGGAACACATCATATGTTCATAGGTTCCCACCTAGGGGCCCAATGAACGCAAGATGCCCGATTTTACATCTCTCTTGACTACCTGTTGGGCCTTTGATGCTAAACCCCCTGAAACACAAAGAGTTAAAGATGAAGTGTTTCTCTACATCTGTTCTACATCCATCCAATTACCTTCACTGTCTACACACTCAGGTACAACACGACACAATCGCTGGCTTACTTTGTGCAGGTTATTAATTATTCTGACAACTCTATGAAAATAATTCATCTCCCAAGATTTAGTGTCTGTTGTTTTAAAAGAAGTGTCTTGTTAAGAGAAAGAGTTCAAACCTTGATTTAAGTGCTAAATCCAATTCTCTGTAATTAGATGTGCAATTTTTTTCTAACACAAAAAGAACACATTTTTAAATCTATTTTCTGTTCAGAAAATGTATCATATTCAAAACAAGTCATGAGATTGATGTATTTGCAATCTAAGAAAAGATTATCATTAATGTAGATGAGAAGACAAAGAAGAATAAATTACCTCTTCATCTTGCGACAGGGGGTTATTTAATGAAATATCTACAGAATCTACAGCTTTTCTGGGGTTGACGATCAACTAAACAAAAGTGGAAGAGAAAAAAAACTGTTTAAAAAAAACTGCAAATATAGACACATTTTAAACTACTAATTTCTGTACCATTTAATTACTGGCATACACCAAGTACTGATGATGTATGTAAATATATTTTTGTATTTGAGTACTGGTGTGCATTCAACTATGATTTATATTCTGTTGTAAAATCATAAATATCACCCTTGTGAATTATAAATGAGATATAAAGCATTGTCTATATTATTTCTAGTCATGGATGTTTACTTCTTTTCCCTTCTGTTACCTCTTCAGTATATATCTTCCAAAGCAACAAGTACCCTTAAACAACTCATGCTTAACTTTTTCCATGTTATGAGAGAATTAACTCGAGAACTTGGTGATGACGGACAATTTTGTCGGAAAAACAGCACAGGGAACATAAACAGATAAATATCTGGATGGCATGGCCATATGGATGGGTTAAGATAAGAACACTGACCTGATTTGTGATTCTGGTGATCATGTGAGAAAGCAAAACATGAGAGCATCAGCTTATTAGTATGGTACATGATGATGATGTGGTGAGGAGAGAAAAGCAACACATTAAAAATGGGAACTTTCAAATGTTATATATACTCATACTTTTGCATGGTACAAAAACATGGAAAAACAATAACTGCATAGTGCAAAAACACATGGGAAAAAAAATAACTAGAAAATCAAAATGAGTCTCTGGAGATATGGATATACAAAACATTAGGCTATATATCATGGAAACAAATCTAACCAAATACACAGGTTCTGAAAAGACTTAGAATAAACAGTTTAAATGTGACTGAATACAAATGTTTAATAGTTTACCTACCTGAAATTTTTTCCTAAAACTCACCCGGTTTTTTAATTCTTCAAACTTGCTTCTACTTTTTCTTGTTTTATCTATCCATGCATTTGTTTGTGAAGGAAGTACCTCAAGAAACAACTGAAAATTTGAAGAAAAACTTAATGTCAGTTTCCCACAAAAATTGTCTGCTTCCATTTAAAGCGCCTGCTTAGCTATAATTCAGTGAAACAACTTTACATTTCATTCCTAAGATATTATTATTTCTAAAGACTGATCAACCATGTAGGTCAACAAAGTAAAGGCACTAATCATTCTAACATTCTCAACCAAACTTCTTGGGAAATTTACATTTTCTTTTTCTTTTTCTTCTTCTTCTTACCTGTTCACATTCTTCCTTCTAGGTAATAAGAGAGATGTCTGGGCAACCACTAGCATCGACAGTTATTAGACAGAGAGGATGTCGCTAAACTGGACACATCATGAGAAGAAGACAGAGAATCACCAAACAGGCGTTGGAATGAGAAATAAAGGGATTAAGGAGGTGAGGAGCCCAGAAGAAACCCTAATATGAACATTGACAAAAGAGGCTAATGTTGCTGGACTAGATCCATATATGATATCGAACTGACCTCAAAGGATAGAACTGAATAGACTGACAGCCCTATGTGACATATAATGGCACAACAGCATAATGAATGAATGAATGAATGAATGAATGAATGAATGAATGAATGAATGAATGAATGAATGAATGAATGAATGAATGAATGAATGAATGAATGAGTTAGTTAGTTTCAGGGTTTATGACACCCCTGTAAAAGTTTTGATGGAGTAGTTTGTATGATATCATTTTTGATTATTTTCTGTAAGTTTGCAGGACTGCAAGAAGTGAAATCAGTTCATATCTCTCTCTATCTGTCTGTCCATCTACCTATTTCTCCTCTCTCTCTAAATCACACTTTCAATCAACAATTCACTGACCTTCCAAATGACACTTCGAAACCTACTACTCCGAAGGTTACCCTCTAAGGCCCTCTCCTTCAACCGTTTCATCATTTCAGGTTTGTTGAACAAATTTTCCCATTCTGTGCTGCAATAAAAAAAAAAAAAAAACTTTGCAGGCATTGCAGTAAAATCATCAGTGCGTAATTCACAATTTCATAAGAAATTATTTAGCTCTAAAGACTTTGTAATTATACATTCATTTTAAACAGTAAACTTTAAGACATGAGAATCAGTAAATTAAAAATTTACTCAGAAGTAAAACTGAACAGCCAGCTGAAACTAGATGTGCATATCAAGTCTTTCATGAATGAATACAGTGAACAGACATTCTCAGTTTCGTGAAACTTCTTGCAACACCACTTGGGGGGGGGGGGGAGGCAGAAAATACACCTGACGCCACCCATATCTCAGCTATTGTAGTCAATGATGGATTAAAATATTCAGTCTAGACAATGGTGAATACTAGCATCATCTTAACTTTCAATCTTAACGTTCAGAACCAGCTCTCACAATGTATTTGTGAACCAAAAAATGCTGATGCCTGTAGCTGCATGCGACATAGCTACCATACCACCACCAGGCAAATTAAAGAGGCATAATTGAAGCTGTAGAAAGGCGCATGAGACAAGAGGAAACAAAATCATGCAAACGGAATAATGAAACAAACCTGGAAAAGAAGATTGAAACAGTGATCTGAGAAACATTACCTGCCACAAGACAAACAGAGTTAAAATTATTGGGGTTATCCCCATCAGATTCCCATAAGTTAGAACAAAACTACTTGATAAAATAGTCAAGAAAGACTAATTTTTCTCATAATTCTAAAGTCATGTGCCTTGCATATCATAAACAACTACTAAGCAATGGAAATCCAGGTACACACAGAGGTTTTTTGCCTTTAACGATAACTTCTTTTGCATCATACTGTGCCTGAATTAAGTAATCACAGCAAAAAAAAATGCTTCAAGTTTTTTTTATTCCTGTGATGAAAAAACCGCTCCAACTATAAAGTGGAGACTGTTGCAATAAAAGATGTCATTGAGCCTTGGACTATTAAACTAATATTTCAAGCATATGCATCTACAGCCATGTGGTATAGTGATAATTAGTTATGAACTATCTATCCTAGAGACATCAGAAACCCCTATATATGAAAGCAAAGACATCTGGTAGGAAGAATAAGTCACACTCTTACTTCGTCAGTGTAACAGCTAAACTCACAGTGACAGTGATCACATGGAAAATATGACAATGGTAAAATCAGAGAAAAAGGTTCAAACTTGCAGGAAGAGAACAGTCCAAGAGATAATCCAAAACAAAACATCAACCTTGCACTATGAGAAAAGTGTAATGGATCATGAGAAACAATACATCATCCCCGTGTGGGTTCCGGGGCCCCATTGTGGGGAAAACAAGAATAGACCCACTGCCTCCCCAAAAGCATGTCGTAAGAGTCAACTAATTGGGGAGCTTCCTTTGAAGTCGGAGTGCATCTGCCGGAGAGGCAAGGAACCGACAGTCTGTATTCAAGAGAATGAGATCTGTAAAACTGATGCACACGCAACACTCAGGTTCTGGAGCAGGACTGCAGTTCAGTAGTGGACGAGCAACCAGAACCTTCCGCCAGAGTGTACAGCTGGTGAACGCGAAGAAGAAGAAGAAGAATACATCAAACTTGCATTATAAGAACAGTCAAAGTCAAATTGGCAAAATGAATGCCAAGATAAGAGAAATGATGTTGAGACCAGATACAGAACCACATTTGGCAGAAGAACAGATGGGGTTTGGGAGAAATAAAATCTGCACTGATGCCATTTTTACACTTAAATAGTTCATAGAAATGAACACAGAATATGACAAGAACTTGCTTGTGGCATTTATAAACCAGGATAAGGCATTTGAGGCATTTGACAGAGTTGATAGACAAGTAATATGGAAAGTAATGGCTCGATATTAAGTCAGCGAACACCTCATTTGAGTGTGCAAACGTTTATATAGAGAATTTTAAAGTGTAGGGAATAAATTTTTAAAAAAACATCCAAACCATTCACAGTAACATCTGGAGTAGGACAAGGATGTGTCTTAGCACCACTGCTGTTTATCCCATATGTCAACAGTATATGCAAGAACACCAAGCTTGGGACCAAAAATATCAGTAACATCAACGAATTACTTTTTGCTAATGACTAGGCCCTGAAAGAAGATAAAGCCATGAAATTGCCACAATATATCATAGCCATGAATGAAGAATGTAAAAAAATGAAATGAGAATAAACACTATAAACAAAGAAGTAATGTCAGCAAAAAGAAAGAAAAGAAACCTAAATATAGTAGTGGAGTGCAAAGGCATTAACCAGGCATCCAAGTTTAAATCTGGATTTAGAAACAATATTCACTGAAGATAGGAAATTGGATGAAGCAATTACCACCAGATGCAATAAAGCTGGCCAAGTATTGGGAACGCTAGCTCCCCCTCTTACAGTAGAAGACAATCCTAATCATCAAGAAACAAATCATTCAAAGCATATTTATTCCCAGCCTATGCTATCAGTGCCAAACATGGACACTCACAACAAACCAGAAAAGAAAATCAGCAACCCCAGAAATGAGATATTTGAGAAGGGCTGCAGGAGTGGTAAGAGAGATAAATCAGGAAATAGGTCATAACTTAGCACAAAACCAATTCTAAATTACTTTCAGCGATTTACATGGTTTTCTTACATAGAATGACTTGTGATGCCACACCATACAAGGCATTCACTAAAAGCAGTAAAAGAGGAATAGAAGAAGCAGAAGAACAGTCCAAGAGATCATCAGAAACAAAACAAAGACAAACTGCTGAACCAACAGTTTTCATGATATGACCAACATTTTCTGCTTCAATTTAAAAAAAACAAAACAAAGCATCACACACCTGTATGAATGTGACAAACTGGCTGGGGCTAACAAAGGGTCACTATCAACATACTCCCACTTGTCCAAGCTGGACCCTCTAGACAACGGTTTGGCATTGTTGTTATTTTCTGAAACAGAATATTCAAATATACATATGTTTGTGTCCATGCAATAACAACATTCTTGTTATAAAGCCATGAGAACTGATGAGACATCAGTTAACAAACCTCACAGCCTAAGAAAACCCGTAAGGCTACAAGGAGGACATACAGAGGAAAAGAACAGCAGCCTTCGGTTTGTCCTCCAATTAGCTTTAGAGTATTTTGTTTAACTCTTTTAATTGCAGACTGTTGTTATTCTATCACATACTACCTAAGTGGCTGTTTCTGATTAGTTCTTGTTGGATCTAAATGAATTCCTATAAAACCATTATATTGGACAGCTGGGGAGTCGCCGTGGCCGAGCGGCTAGACGCTCGCCCAGGATCGGAAGGTCGTGGATTCGCTCCCTGGCGGAGCCGGTCTATTTTAAAAAATGACTTTGGCTCTCAGGTCGACCCAGCCTTGAGTGGGTACCGGGTACAGTCCTGGGATATAAAGGCGGCTGGCGTGATGCTGACCACATCACCCATCTTGTGCCGATTGGTCTATAAAAACATAGGTCTAGCCCTATATGCCCTATGAAAAAGGGTCCTTTACTTTACTTACTTTTTATATTGGCAGTGAGCCAGTTGATGTAAATACTAATTGAGACCCAAGGATTTAAGGAAACACATCATGTATGGAGTCACTAGAATGGTACCATATGAGTGACACTATGTGTGTTTCTGCGGCTGCTTGTGATTAGAATACAAATCTGCACTACATGTTGTACTGTCAGACTATCTGTTTTATTTAACTACCTGTTATTCAGGTTTCTCTTCAGGAAACACTTACAAACTGATTTCAATTTAGTATTTTAGTATAAACAGAACTCACACACACAAAAAAAGATAAACAGAACTCACAATAAAAAGATAAACAGAACTCACAATAAAAAGGAGTCTTTTTACGCCTTTAGGCGTTATGGGCATTTTGATACTTTTTCTAACCAATTTCCTGTTTTGCTTGCCGATTCTATCTAAATTGTTATACAGCATACTGCCAGTTGGAAACTCTCTTAGAGTTTCAAGTGAAAAGAACATATCCGTCACTATGAATTGGACACTGTGAAGCGTGACAAATTAAAGAAGAACAGATCCTAGATCATCATTAAGAAGATATTAAAGAATTACTATTCGACGATGACCAGGTACTCAACGCAGAAAGTGCTTGACAGAATGCCTACAGAACCACCTAAATCAAATTAATAACAAAGGGGAAGAATATAAGAATAAACACTACAAAGACTAAACACTACGAAGACAGAGACAATGGTGATAGGAAGACAGAAAGCCAATTTAGAAATAAAATTAAACAACAACACCTTAACACAAACAGAGGAATTCAAGTATTTGGGAGCAATTTTCACATCCGATGGAAAACTGGACAGAGAAATTAGCTCGAGATGTGCCAGAGAAGTAATGGGGCGACTATCTCCCCTGTTGACACACAAGCAGATACCCCGGAGTACTAAAGTGAATCTTATCAGAACTATTTTGTGGCCAACACTATGCTATCAGTGCCAAGTGTGGACATTTAAATCCTCTAAAGAACATAAAATTGTGACAACAGAGATTAAATGTCTTAGATGAGCTGCATGAGTTTCAAGGAAAGATAGAATACCAAATCAGGAAATCAGACAAATGCTAGGAATAAGGCCAGTTTTTACAAGTGGTCTAGATACCTAACAAGAATGCCCTGGTACTATCTTCCACAGTGAGCCATACTGAAATGTTACAATGAGTATCGAGCGAGCAGAAGACCTCGGAAAAGATGGAGTGATGGCATTAAAAACAGCCTTACAGAAATTAACATCAATCTTAATAGAGCTCTTGACAGAGCTCATCAAAGAATGTTACTTATCCCCCAACCCCCACACTTCACTGAGGTACAAGGTGGAAGAGAAGAAGAAGAAGATGAAGAAGAAGAAGATCCTAGATGGCTCCAGGCTGAAAAGACAATCAACACTGTCTGCAACATTTAGAAGAATGGATTGAGGTACCAGACGACAGAGAAGAGCTAAACAAAGTGCTAATTTCACTGGGACAAGAATGCAAGAAATGAGCAGTGGTATGTGCGAAAGCAGAGGTTCAACAGGTGATAGAGGACAATTCTAGGTCAGGAGAGGTAGTTGTATACAATGATTGGTCAGTGGCCAGGGGTAGAAAGAGTGAAAGGGGATTTCAGTGCATGGGGGAGAAGGAGGAAAGCTAGGCATATGACATTACCACATTGAGGATGGTAATGGCAGTTGAGGCAGTAGCTGTGGAGTTCTGATGAGTGGAGAGAATCTTAGCCACACACGCTGTCATAGTATCAGATTTGCAAAGCATGCTCAGGAAGGTGGGTTGGGTTTTTTTTCTCATATGGAATGGTTTGCATAAATCCAGAGGTCGCAGGAGGTGAGTCACATGGATAGTTTGCCCTGGTAATGTAGGGATGTTTGGGAATGAGCAGGCCGCTAGGTTGGCTGGACTCCCCACACTTGAGATGTACTGCAACTGCACAAGGCAGAGATGATCTTACACCCATGGGACAGATGATCTTACACCCATGGGACAAGGTATCAAGTAAAATAGAAGATACTGAAAACCGGCACCCGGAGAGGATGATGCAGCAAGGAGTTTCTGCAGCCCTGACTGCCATCTGTGAATCAGAGGGGATGAGACAATGCAAGATGAGTAGTTAACATACTGACTACCAAGCCCGTTAACACTTGCATCTTCCCAGATACCACATATTTTAATCATCATCAGTTTCCACTTCTGCTGTTAAGCATTGTACAGAGGAACAGTTTGCGATCCACTGCTTTGTGTGATGGACAGGAACTTCATCCCTGGCCTTAATTTAACCCAAATGTCAACTGCAACGGTCCTAAAATCCCACGCTACAATTGTGGAAGACTTTTCTTAACCCAAGCGGGTCTTGCTAGTCACACTCACCATCACTAGGGACTGAGTCCCATGCCTCCTCACAGCACAATATACCACTATTGTCTGGAAAGACGAAAAGGGGCCAGTCAATCAAAAACAATAGTCCCCCGTGTGGGTTCCGGGGCCCTATTGTGGGGAAAACAAGAACAGACCCACTGCCTACCCAAAAGCATACAAAAGCATGTCGTAAGAGTTGACTAACTGGGGAGCTTCCTTTGAAGTCGGAGTGCATCTGCCTGAGAGGCAAGGAACCAGTAATCTGCATTCAATTGAATCAGATCTGTAAAACTGATGCACACGCAACACTCAGGTTCTGGAGCAGGACTGCAGTCCAGAAGTGGACAAACAACCAGAACTTTATGCCAGAGTGTACAGTTGGTGAACGCGAAGAAGAAGAAGAAAAACAATAGTTTCTATATTGTATTGTACTTTAAAGAAAGTAAAATAATGCAGTTGTTTTAAATTATTCTGCAGAGTGAGAATCTATAGAAGAGTTTAAACAGTCAAATATGGAAACAAATTACAGTGTGCAGTGCCATAACCACTTTTTAATTTAATGAAAGTTAATATGTAATATCTTTCTCATACACTGAGTCGGGAGGCAGAGAGTGGCCAGCGGATGCTACGGAGGTGGAAGTCCAACAGTTGATTCACAACAACCTAAACAATGGTTCACGTTTTTTTTTTTTATTTAACTACAAAATCTTGTACCTTTATTACTATGTGGCCTGTCTGTTGAGTAGTTTTCCATCGTATTAATTATCTCTTCTTTGCTTGGAGCCTGTTCTGATTGTGTGTTTTTCTTCATTTTAGAGACTTTCAATTTGGAAAAGACATCCATGAAGTCTTTGGCTGGAATAAAGAGACACATAAATCAGTTACTAAACTAGCTGCTTTAGATCTGTGCAGTTTTAAACTGTACAAACATGTATGCAATCATATCAATGGCACCAGATATGTCCACAAATATATGAAATCCTCTTTCAGCTAATTACAATCTGACAGTGTCTCTGTACTTGAGACGGCTGAAAGATAATTATTATATAAACAATAAAGTACCAAATGTTGTTCCTTTTCTTTTAAAGATAATGTTATTATTGTAGCAATTCTTTATTATAAATATGAACAATGTGGCTTTTAAACAATAAAAATAATGACGGAACAGCTGCCTCTCTTTTCTGTTTTATAAAGAGATAGCTACATTATTTCAATAGTCAGTTTAGCATTATGTGTTTATTCCTGAATATTTTCTTTCAGTCTCTTCAATAGCAAACTTCCATGTCTCACAGTGTAGCCAGCTTGTAGTCTATTTATATTTTCATGCATACTCTTTAACAATAGTTGTCTATGTGTCTAGGGGTGGTTTAGCTGAAAGTTGTGGTTGTTAATACCCTTCTGCACTTTGGTCTTGTAACATTACTTTTGTCTGGGGTGCACATCCATTCTACAGCCAAGGAGAACTATACTAACCAACCTTGAGTATCCTTATATTTCTAACTTGAATAGAGCATTTCATTGCAATATTAGTTTGAACTAGTTTACTAGAATGTGACTGAAGAGTTACATCCCTCCAATTTGTTCCCCAGCGATATCATTTTATCTCTTATCAGCTGCAGCAGATATTTTAAACAGGATCAAAGTGTTACTGTTGTAACTGTGACAGTGACCTCTTTGGCAAATGAAGTAACTCTGAACCTGACTGATAACCATCAGGTGTTGCCTGACTGATAAAACACACAGAGTACAGTGTGGCTTGAAGCTTAATAGATGTATGTATAAATATGATGCTGTTAGTAGGCATGAAAATATTCATTCACTTTCAACAAAAAGAACACATTACTTTACCAAATGAAATCACTAAGTGACAATCTACATGTAAAAAAGACACTAAAAAAATGCTGTGATTTTTATTTTTAACATATTTTTTTTTTAATTTGTTGCATATCCTTCACAGGATGTTGCAGAACCAACCCCAGCACTTTCTGGCTGTTGTGGTTTTTCTAGGCAAATTTACGTCTAGTAGTTTGACACTGATTTCTGGATGGTCAGCTTTTGGTACCATGGTCGGAACAATCACAAGACAAAACGTCCGCAGCAGGGATCGAACTCGGCACCCCGGCATTACGAAGCGCGTTCGCAACGCCTAAGCCACAGAAGCCGACTTTTTAACACATAGTCCTCAGAAAGCCTGCTCTGAAGAACAAAGTAGTAAAAGTAATAAGACACATTTTCAGATCTTAAGGTAGCTTGAGTATATGGGCTGCATTAATATTTGTATGGACCAATCAGTACTTTGCGAGGAAGAGAGTACATATCACCCCAGCCAACTCTACTTCCTTGAACAGTGGTCGGCAAACTCAAGGAGCCAAAAATCAGCAGTAAGACGATTAAAAATTATTTGAGAGCCAAATTTCTTTTCAAGAACCTGTCAAGAACCATGTTTTCAGAGGCCAAATTCAATTGTGGCCGACTGGCCGAGTCGCACTCAGGTCACTGAAGAGCTGCAAGCGGCTCGTGAGCCACGATTTGCCAACCACTGTACTAGAACATTTTCTTACCTTTTTTTAAAGTCAAGTTGACCTAAAAGACTAGGTTAACTTTTAACAATTCCTACCTCTGTGGGCTTTCAAAGATATTAACACCCTTCTAGTAAACAAGCCAGCATGAAGGTACTAAGTATTTAGTTGAAATAAAGTAATTATAAATACACAAGTTTTCAGTAAGCTCATGATTTGCTTCATCATGTATATAACTAGTCCATATAGACATCCTACTAGAGCACATTTACCACACTGGGGTTAAATGCTTGAGAACTGCTACTGGTATTTCCACAAGAGATAAAATCTGAACCAAAGACAGAGAAAGCTGCTTTGGGGGGGGGGGGGGGTGCAAGGGTAACCAGTATAGAAACAAGAAATATTATGGCTGCTGATGAAGTTTCCAAGAAAGAAAATAGTTGCTGTGGTTTCTAGGAATGATATAATGTTAACCCTAGGCGGTAGCCTATTGTAGTTTGAAAAACTAAAATAAGTTGTAAAATGAAGAAATAATTCAGATCAAATATCAGGCACTGGATGTATTATGAAACAATCAATAAAATGGCTCTGACATCTTATAAGAATGAAAATCAACAAACTAATAAACAAAGTATATACTAAAAAATAATCCCAAAAGAGACTTAGAGGAATACCAAGAAAATAATGGAACAACAACCTCAAAGGTACTCCAAACAAACTTTGATACAATGTACAAATTATCTGGCCTCAAAATGCAAGTCAGACTTCCCCATACCGTATGCAGGATGGGTTGAGAAAATAGTCATTGTTCACCTGTAGTTAAACAACAAACATAACTAGTACCCCCTCAATATAATTTCACAAAGCTACTCATATAGTTGCTGTGAGATTTACTAATGGGTTCTGAGCACTGATGAACTAAATGGTGTCTAGCAACTAACCAGATGTTGTGGTATTACATGCCAGGCTTTGTTGCACTAAGCACTGTCCATTTATTTTTGCTATTCAGCCACTTGCACTTCTGCTTGTCAGACATTAATTTTCATGATTTATTACCATCTTGTCTATCATATCACCAGTAAATTGTCATCATACTCATCCTTGTGCCATCTACTTTATTTATTTCTGCTATTATCTTTATCTTCATTGCCATCCTCAAAAGGAAATGAAAGAGCTGACAGACTGACCACATCAGCAGTAGCTAGTGCAGAAAGATGTATGGACAGGTAAGATGTATGGACAGGTAAGATGTATGGACAGGTAAGATGTAAGGACAGGTAAGATGTATGGACAGGTAAGATGTAAGGACAGGTAAGATGTATGGACAGGTAAGATGTATGGACAGGTAAGATGTATGTACAGGTAAGATGTATGTACAGGTAAGATGCATGGACAGGTAAGATGTAAGGACAGGTAAGATGTATGTACAGGTAAGATGTATGTACAGGTAAGATGTATGGACAGGTAAGATGTATGGACAGGTAAGATGTAAGGACAGGTAAGATGTATGTACAGGTAAGATGTAAGGACAGGTAAGATGTATGGACAGGTAAGACATACTGAATGCCTTATTTTCCATAAACAATGAAACAATCGAGTCTGAAATGACTAACAACCTGCTAGAAATGAATACTAAATGAAGACAAGCAGGCAGAAACCTGTTGCAGGCAAAGAAAGAAGTTACGCCAGTCAACTCCTACTGTCCCTGTGTGGGTTACAGGGCCCTGTTTATGGAAAACAAGAATAGACCCACTGCCTACCCAGAAGCATGTCGTAAGAGTTGACTAATTGGGAGCTTCCTTCAAAAACAGAGTGCATCTGCTAGTGAAAACGAAGAAGAAGAGGAACTCCTACTAGATATGGTCAGGTAAGCATGGAGACACTGAGACGGCTGCTACATCACAGGATAGAGCATTCATGGACAACAAGTCACATGTATGGCCATACTTCTTTCACCATCAGTATCTTGTTCCACCACTCTAAATTTTTCACATTCACTAACATCAAGTTTTTCTTTAATATTACAATTTTTCTCTAAGATTTGGAATATAATTATGTTAAACTTCATTACACAGTGACCATAAACATAATACTCTTTATCTGGACAATCACTGACTTATCTAAATCTGAGAATGATATCAGAATTTTGAATGAGGTACCAATACCTTGTTTAACTCTCTGAGTCCCAGAGAACGCATCATGCGCTAATTTGTTACAACTGCGCGGCCCAATCGACTCGTGACAAGTGAAGGTTTTTAATCTACCACTGACCGGTTATAAAACGTGGACCGCTCAATTTCAACTTCCTTTCGAGATTTTTTGTGTTTGATATTAGGCGTGCTCATTTAGAAATGCGGTCTGAAAGCCAAAGATATAGTATATTTGCAAAATTTACCGAGTTACTAAGTGTTTGTTTGAAAAGAATATGGCCACCAAGCAGTATTCTACATGCATGCCAACATGATTTACGGCTTTAGAAACCTCAAATTTAAATAAAGTATGTGTATATTCAATTTATCCTAAGTTAGATAATGTTGTGAATAAGACGTGTTTCAGTCATTTATAGAGTCAAACGTTGATGAGGGATATGTCTAATGTGTACCTCATGCAAAGTGTAGAACGATAGCTAAGTCAGCTGGCACAAATAGAATAAACATTAGTGAAAAGACGATTTTCTTCAGTGTCAGTTAGTTCTAGTGCTAATCACCTTATTATTTAGGAACATAGCTGCAAAATTACAGGCAAAAAGAGTGTTATATAAACTTCGTTTTATGTGAAGATACTTATTGTTTTGGGAGTCAGTTTTCTTTACCAAATAATGGTGCTTTGTTATGATGCTTCAAAAGATTCTTTGGAACAAAATGTAATGTACAGATTGAATTTATATTCTACTTTTACATCACTTAGTGGTTCATATTCACTTATGATTTATTTTGGATATATTTTACCCAGTTTTCCTTGAGTGCCATGGTGGTATGTGGAAATATGGCTATCCTCTTCTTCTTCTTCTGCGTTCGACATCAGTCATGCTAAACATTGAGTCCCGTCTGGGTCACAAATAGGATTGTGCGTTTAAGGTCGCCACCGGTCCCCCATAGCTTCTCTTTCAATGTGGCTCCCTTGGGCCAGATCCACAGTCTTTGCTGGGAGAGGTAAGGGCAGTACTGTAGTATGTGCCCAGGGGTCTGTCTTTGTGCTCCACAATCACAGGCAGCAGATTCTTTTATGCCTATCCTGTACAGGTGTGCTCGAAGACCACAGTGTCCAGTCCGAAGTCTAATAATTGTTGTTTGTTCTTTCCTGTTGAGTTTGTTTATGCTGTCAC